GTTCTTTGATGTGTAGGGCGTATTTGAAACTCTTTTATCTGAACCTAAGTTCTTTGATGTATAGGGCGTATTTGAAATTCTTTTATCTGAACCTAAGTTATTTGATGTGTAGGGCGTATTTGAAATTCTTTTATCTAAACCTAAGTTCTTTGATGTGTAGGGCGTATTTGAAACTCTTTTATCTGAACCTAAGTTCTTTGATGTGTAGGGCGTATTTGAAATTCCTTGATCTGAACCACTGTCTCCTAGAAGGAAGGTTTATCTTTAACATATAGCAACGGAGACGTAAATAAGTTTTGTAACCACATTTCTGCTAGGTTGATCAATAGCTTTCAACACACAAAGTTTCAAGAAAATATGAGACTACACGACTAGGTGGTGACAAAAAAGATATACTATATCAACAACTGTACTTAGTTTTTTTATATTTTAGATTCAACGGGTGTACGTTACAGGACATTTATATTTATATGCTGTTTAAGTGAAATCCACAGTTATATGCATACTTTTTTGTTGAGTTATTGTGATTGCTCCCTAGTTACCAACCTTTCAGCTACGGCAATTAATTTTATATTCCAATTTTGATATATATTTTGGAACCAAACAGATACGATTAGAAGGAAAAATACCTGTGACAAAGAAATACCTTTAAAATGATTTATACTGCACTCGTTCTATTTGAGCAGTCAAAATGCGTTGACCGTATATTTCTATATCATATACATTCACTGACCTGATATCACTTTTCCTCATGGATATTTAAATAGAAATTGCCGAAATTATAATTAATTATTCATACGACCTATTCAACCTGTTCTTGTTTCCAATGTATACAACGGCTCAAACTTATTTCTTTTGCAATCTTTAGAAAAAAAACATATTTCACTTGTTAATATTTTTGGTTTGCAAACTATAAATCATTATGTTTTATGCTTATTGTTGATATTTTAGTTCATTCTCAAACAAATTCGTTCACCATCGATTGCGGGTTTCAACAGGTACTGTACATTTCATTGTGTTGTATATTTCTCCGCCTGCATGATATGATGCCTTTTTATAAAAGGGGGACGTTTCCCAACATTTAAATCAAATAATAACATTAACACATTAAACAACAACTGAAAAAAGTTTTTTTTTAGATTGCAGTATAAAGACAATAATAGTGCATTGACTTGACATATCAACGATATGTCAAGTCAATGCACTATTATTGTCTATGTATCGAGGGAACAGAAAGGTATTTCGAGGGAAAATAATGCATTGCATGAAAACATGATACGGTTTTTGTTTATTTTTTTTTTTTGTCGTGCCTAAAACATTTTTTTGTGGAAGCGAGACATAGCGATCCGACATTCCGTGGTTGGCGTCGTCGGCGTCGGCGTCGTCATCCCTTATGTTGAGTTTGTGTTTTAAATTTTGTTTAGACATTATTTACTTTGTCAAAGTTTACCTTCATGGAATGTTATGAAACTTGGACAGAAGCTATTGTATGATCAAAAGACTGTATTCAGAGTTAAATTTATGATTTGTTTTCTTTTTCCCGTATTTTATTGATCAGTGTACTAAGTTTTTTCACGGTTAAGATGCATTCTAAGGTTACTTATTTTTTTAAATATCAATAACTTCGATGAAATATAATGAAACTTGGATCGGAGCTTTTTTTCTGACGAAAAGACAGAATCCAAAGAGAAATTTTGAAAATGTTTTCTTTTTTTTTTAATTTTTCCGTAATTTGCCTATTAAGGGCTTAGTTTATTTTTTTTTGCCATTAAGATTTAGATACGGTCTGTTTCTTTTTCACAAGCTTCTAATGCAATTATCTCTGTAAATGATGAACTAAAAACATCGCGTCTTTGCATGTATATTTCCAATAAAACAGTTTAACAAATGATTATTTAAAATGTAAGATTACTGTTTAGAAATAACTTTTAATCAGTATCGTCACCGGCATTGTTTTACAATTGATTTTCTCGACTTTTTCATAAGAAGAGTGAATTTTCTATTGTTCTCGGTCATCGGTTTAGTCACTGTACATACAATCTCGGATTATATTTTTAGACATTATTAATGTGTTAAACCTTTGTTGAATGATTTGACACGTGGAAATAAGCTTCTTAAACCAAGAAATAGCATCTGAAGAAAAAAGATTGATTTTTCGTTGTTGTTGTTTTTTCCTTTTTTTATTCATAAAAAGACAACATCATAACACTTTTAGACTGACAGTAGCAACTGCAGGCGAGACACATGATTCCGTGGAACCCCTTTACAATTGTATTACATTATTGCTTATCATGTCTCCTATCACAGACATTTGTCCCTGTGTTATGTTTACATGCACATTGACTTTCGGCATAAGTGTACATGTTGTCGGTTAGAAAATATTTTTTCCACTTACTAGTATATCAGTGGAATTATACATTTGCTTCATTTCAAACTACTCAAAGTAAATTATAGCAATAACTTTTATTAATTTTGTCAGAAAAGCTATTTTAATAGGGGAAAATATGCATGACCAAAAGCAAAGTTTAAGCTGATACTCCTTCTATAACTGTAACATATATAACGAGGTAAATTAGGGTGCTGCCTTGATATATTATCTGCACTTTGGCTGTTACTTTTTTATTACTATTTTCTCTTTACCATTTTTTGTTTGCTGAATTGCTGGATTAAATCAATTTTAATTTCAACTTAAAAATAATAACAATAAACGCCAAACATCTACTGTTACAATTACTTATAGGTTGCATTAAATGCAAGTTTAACGTCACAGTCACATAATGGCAAAGTAGAATTATAATATATTTTGCAAATTGTTTTTTAGAAAATAACACAGAATTATAGAAATTTTTTTAATTAAAAGAGATAAAAGAACGTATTGTGTACGGAGTTGAAGCATTTATATTATACATCAAAAGCAAAACGCGAACCTGATAGACCGCCTATGCTGGTGTTAGACGATAGATTCAACTCTATCACTGCATGCTTGTAGATATTTTTTGGTTTTCGCGATCTGTACTTGTATTTGTTTGCAAATATTCGTAATTTTTTATACGATGACACTACGTTGTAGCTTGACAAGTATATTTAACAGTTCATATTCACCGTGTAGAACACCACAAGAAGGGGGGGGGGGGGGGGGGGTCATGTCTTCCTGCGAACTGATATCTTGTGAGCTAGCACATTAAAAATCCGGCTCAGCGTGTCGGTCTACTACAAAGCAGGGTCAGTATTCATTTCTCATTATCATTTTCTCGTCTGACCTGCCACAGGAAGTTAAACAACAATCCATCCATCTTCAACATCAGGGATCTAACTTTGAAGTTGAGTCGTTGATTATCCTTTGCAAAAATAAAGTGTGAATATCATATTGACACCTATTGTAAAAATAAACAACTTGTTTATAAAATTACTTTATCGAAGTTATCTCCCATTATATCTGAGTTACCTCCCCTTTTCTGGCAAAGTTGAAAAAAAGTGAATCCATCAAATTTTTTGTTTGTTTGTAAAATAAAACCGTTAATATGATAAAACACATATTTTTCTATATTAACACGAAAAGTCTGACACATGAATTACATACTACTCTCGAAATTTGCACATTTCATTAAAGATCTGGACCGATTGTTATCTGTTTTTTTTTCAAAATCCAAGATGGAGGAAGACACCCAAGCCACCTTAAACCCTCTTTTTAGCACTATTTGTTGCAACATTAGACATTTTACGATACCTTAAAAATTTATACTTTCATGAGAGCCTGTTCTTTGGTATTTGTAAAGTAATGATTCCTTTTTTTGTTCATAGTCACTCGTAGGCAGAACTGTATTGAAATAGTTTAACAACACTCAGTGTATTTATATGAAAGATCCACGATATTTATCTTTGAACTCTCTCTGATATGAACAAAGAAACTGTGACACTTTAAATTCAACTCCCTCAAAAATAATTCATTATTTTTATCGGTGTAAATATTTACATTTAAATTGGTCAATTTGAATAGAAAAAGTAGTTATATATATATATTTTTTTTTGTTTTGTGTTGTTTTGTAAACGTTTGAATTTACACTCATTGAATAATTTTGTTAAATAATTTTAATAATACCTAGGGGCCAGTTGAAGTCCGCCTCCGGGTTCGGGATTTTCTGGTTGTGTTGAAGACCTTTTGGTGGCCTTGGGCTGTTTTCTGCTATTTGGTCAGGTTGTTGTTTCTTTGACGCATTCCCCTTTTTCATTCTCAATATTATTAATAATTTTCATTATTTTTTAATGTTTTGTAAAATTAGTATCATATTCACTGGTTAATTGGCATGCATTGCTATCTTAATAATTATGTAGTTTTAATTTTTATTATTTTGCTATTTACTTCTACCCCAACACTAAGGCTAGCGATTAGGAAATCCTAGGTAAAATAACCATAGGAGAGCTTCGATCATATCCTAGAACATTCATAATTCCACCCTAAATTATGTCCTAAGATATGTCGTAGGAAAAGTCCTAGGACACCTTTGATAAACAGGTCCTGGATTTGTATAAGTTAACAGCTTGTTTCCTGTATCCTATTAATTATTTAATTGTGTTTGTATTTTCATGTTAAATTGTGCATATTATTTAACTTGAATTTTTATTACTAAAATATGTCCATTACCACTGAACTGGTATACATATTTGTTTAGGGGCCAGCTGAAGGACGCCTCCGGGTGCGGGAGTTTCTCGCTGCATTGAAGACCCATTGGTGGCCTTTGGTTGTTGTCTGCTCTGTGGTCGGGTTGTTGTCTCTTTGACACATTCCCCATTTCCATTCTCAATTTTATTACACTAAATCATAACCAATAATAGATTTTCTATTAAGCTTGCCGTCCCATAGGCGGTTTTATTGAACATGTTGGTGGAAATTGAACATTTTAGAAATCAAATAATATATTTCGATTAGCATGATTATAACACACATCCTGAAATATATCAAAATGTATGAATGTACTTTTTTGTATTGTAAATGACGAAAAATGAAGTACTACTTTGTTCCTCGAAATGGCGCTTCAAGATCCGTTTTTCTCGCTTTTTAATTGCTAAAATTATCAATAAAACACGGATTGTGTTATATGCAGCGTGTAATACTATTCTTAAATACTTTTATATTCTTTTTAAAAGATAAATCCATCGACAATTGTATTTACTTTATCACAATATTTCATTTTCATATAGACTTTTACTTTATCAAATGTGGAATTTTGTATGTCCTTATTTAAGACGTGCTTGTAAATAATTTAAAATTATATATTTTTAATGTGTTTTATTGTAAAGTTAGTGTCTCGTAAGTCTACTTTGGCTGGGAAGTGATCTTTGTTTTAACTGTTTTGTGTATTGAACATTTATATTTACTTGTAAGATCAATATGTGACACTTTAGCCACGGCGTTGTCAGTTTATTTTCGACTTATTAGTTTGAATGTCCCTTTGGTATCTTTTGCCCCCCCCCCCTTTTTTTTTAAATAATCATTATCTTATCTTATCTTATTCTGAGGATTTACATTTATTTATTTTTTTGAAAATTAATGTGATTTATTCTAACTATGATAACTTTTTGCCTACTTAAAGGATGTTCGCTACTCTGTTTAAAAAATAACAAGCTTTGTAAAAGACTGTAACAAATTGGTAGTATATAAATAACGGAACTAAAAAAGAAGAAAAAAATGATGGGTCCGTGACTTTGTTTTCGAGATATAAACAATTGAAAATTGGCGGAAAATGATTCTCTCTAGATTTTTCATACGTTTAACATTGGCATCCTTTTTCTTTCAAAAACTATGAAAAAATAACAAGGATTTTGTCAAATTTTCAAATATGGCTTTCTAAACTATATGTAATAAAATTATGAAAAGAAGCGTAGGGGTTAGCGGGAAAAATATTTATCAGCACTTTATGGAAAAAAACAGAGGATTCCGAATATCTGACAAAAAACCAAAAAACAGGAGGAGCGAACATCCTTAAAAAACAGCAGAATCTCAAACATCTGATTGTTGACATTTTTAGACGGAAAGAAAATATTTTGTTAAATTCTAATAAAGCGCCTCAAATATTTTGAAACTTCATTCAAAAGTGTCTCGAATCAAACACTGGACAAAACAACGTTACGATAGTAAAACCAGAGAGTTTCAATAAAACATTTTTGCTTCAATCATACTTTTAGGGTATTCGTGCTTTGCTGTTGATTGTTTAAAATGGTATTCACCGCTAGATGGCATTTACAGGCATCATTGTTACTGGTACAACTGGTCACCAAATTCAACTAATGCATTTGAAGCTAATAAGCTTTGTGCTGAAGACGGCCATGGATTGGCGCCATATATAGACGTAGAACAGTACAATTATGTGGAAAGTTTAAGACCAAGCGGCGCGTATGTTTTATTTAATCTTGCTTTTAATTCTTATGCATAAAATGGAAAACAAACACGGGGTTAAAAACGTGTTACTCTAGGTTCGTGTTGTTGGGTTGCTGCTGTATTGAGATATATAAATATGGTTACCCTAAATGTTCTTTTCTCATAGTCAAATCTATGCTTAAAAGGGACGTTAACATGGAATATTTTTGACTGGACGGTTAAAAGGTTTGAAAGGTTTCTAAAATCGGATAACAAAACTGAATAGATTGTATTCAAACTTTCCATTTAGTTTTACTCGAATTTTAACACTCAGTATTTATTAAAACGAAGGTTTGCAACTCTAACTTAAAATGGACTAGTTTAGCCATAGTTCGTTGTCGGTACTATGTGTTTTGACGCATTCTATCACATTTTGTAAGGCCTGTCTAAAGTCAGAAAGCTGTGATTCAGTGGTTGTCTTTGGTTGCTGTCTCTATCATATTTGTTTTAGTTTATTGTTTTGGTGGTTTTCTCATTTTAACTGTTTTAGATTTTGTTGTGTATGGTCTCCTGATAGCTTATTATGCGGTATGGGTTTTGCTCATTGTAGAAGGCCGTAAGGTGCCAAATTGTTGCTTTAATCTCCATCATTTGGTCTAGTTGTCTCATTGGTGATCATACGACAATTCTCTTTCATTTTTATATACTTCACAATTAATATGATTTACCTGAAAACACAATACACTATAAATTTGTCCCACCTAGTGCAGTAAATATGTTAGCGTAAATTTTACCACATAGATAATTATATGTTTTGAATTAATTTTACAATATAGCAATTTTTAATTTTTTTATTTTGTATTGATTTTTACCACATACATGACAGAAAATGTATTTGTTATGCCCCACCTACGATAGTAGAGGGGCATTATGTTTTTCGGTCTGTGCGTCCGTTCGTCCGTCCGTTCGTCCGTCCGTCCGTTCGTCTGTATGTCCCGTTTCAGGTTAAAGTTTTTGGTCAAGGTAGTGTTTGATGAAGTTGAAGTCCAATCATGTTGAAACTTACTACACATGTTCCCTATGATACAATCTTCCTAATTTTAATGCCAAATTAGAGTTTTGGCCCCAATTTCACGGTCCACTGAACATAGAAAATGATAGTGCGAGTGGGGCATCCGTGTACTATGGACACATTCTTGTTTCATATTATTTTACCAAATAGAAAGACATATTTGTTGTTTTCATTTCGTATTTTTTAACTGTTTAAGAGAATAAAATGTAGCATTACACCTTAAGCCGCAAATACTATCATGTTGTCTTGAAAATCTTATTAAACATCAGAATATGTACAAACGTACAATACAATATTACATGACTTTGATCAATCACGTATATATCAATTTTTTTTCCTAGAGGAGAAACATTTATAGGAGTGATGGACGTGGCTGAAGAAGACACATGGACCCATTTAGACGGATCAAGCATAGCAAACAATGACTTTTGGTCAACATTTTGGATTGATGCAGACTTAAGTCTTAACCAGCCGAACGGAGGACCAACTCAAAACTGTGCTGTGATTAACAGAAGAAGCCATTCTCTCCCAAATAAAACTCAAGACAAGTCATGCACTTATCGTCGGAAAGAGATGTTATGTTATAAAAAAGGTAGGTTGATAGTATGCTAGTTGAACTTTGACACGACGATTTTTTTATATTCATTCTATATCTTACATTTGCTAGGGACCCCCTTCAACGTACAGTCAAGTGAGGATTTTTTTATCATTGTTTAAGACCTAACTGTCACATTGAGAACACAAATAAAAGCGCTGATACTTTGCTCTTGATTTTTTTCCTGATTTTTTCTCATACATTTGTCCACCATATCTTTTCGTTTCCAAAATGATAGACATAAGTCGATATTTTTTAAATGCAATGTATATACGGAACAGTCAAGAAATAATCAACTTCCCCAAATGAAATTAATGCATGTAACATGAAATCCTTTCACTCAGTTGCCAAAACAAATAGATACAAAATATTGGGTGTCTTACGTTCTGCATCTCGAAATCACAGCAAGGCATTTAAAACAGACATAAATTTTACTCCTTGCCGCATCTAGCTCCAGCTTGATTGAATTGTTTTGTTAGGTATTGACCGAACATTGACGTTAGGTGATGACCGGACATTGACGTTAGGTGTTGACCGGACATTGACGTTAGGTGTTGACCAAACATTGCTGTTAGGTGTTGACCGGACATTGAGGTTAGGTATTGACCGAACATTGACGTTAGGTGTTGACCGAACATTGACGTTAGGTGCTGACCGGACATTGACGACTACGTATACAGTTGTAGGATTATATACCACTGCCAACTAAGAAACAATAAAAACATTTACACAACCAAATTAAGCTGCAAGTTGTATGTGAGGGTCTGGATGGGGTTTACAAAATAGAGAATACTTGTCCAAATCTACAGAAAAATGTGCCAAAAATAAAGAATAGCGAATAATGGGCAAGAAATATAAAGAAAATAGAAAAATGACGTAACAAATATCAAGAATAAAGAAAAATGACTTAAAACATATAAAGAATAGAGAAAAATAATAGAAACAATTAAAAATATAGAAATGAAGAGCCCCATTCAGACCCTCATGCATGCTAGATTACTTGGCAGGAATATACGCAATGATATGTTAATAATTTAAATAAACCTCTAAAATAGCGGTTACCGTATTACATCTCAGACACAACCTTGATCGTTCACAAAATGATAACGGTGTTTGTCGGAATATCATAGAAATGAATCTACAAATTAAGCGTTTAGCACAAAGCATATTTTATATGCATATTAAAAAACCGGAATACTATAGGGGATGTTGATTTATTTAACGTATTGTAATGCAAACAACTGTATAGCCATTTTAATTTTGAATACTTTTCTTAAATGAAAACGTAAAACATTTTCTATATCATTCTATTCGCAAAGAGTTTGAATTTGTAATCAGTATAATAGGAAAAAAAATAATTACAAGTAATTGGAGACCTAGTAAAGAACCTTGAGGATTACTCCCTTTTATGTTTCTGATTAGGAATATGAGAAAAGCATTGTTTTGGCTGCAATAAAATAGGGGTTCGAATGATTAAAAACTGTGTGAAAATTGACAAAGTAGTCCCTTTTTAAAATTTTCAGCTCTTATTTACCATAAGTTAAAGATCCAATTTAGACCAATGCTAAATGTTTTTGAAACACATAAACAAATATACGTAAATGAACATGTAAATCAGGTACATCGAGATGCAAATGCATTAAAATGCTGACACTTACAATAAATATCTTAGAGATCGGATTTGGTTAACAGAATACAAAAAAAAAAAGAATACAAAAAATGGCATAAAATTGCAACAATAAAAAATAATGAAACGTTAAGATATAAAGAATAAAGAATTATGGGTGAACAAAATAAAGAACAAACAAAAATATGACATAAAATTAAAGAATATAGAAATGAATACCTCTCCATTCAGACCCTCATATCAACGATGTTAATTAAACGACAACTTATTAAATACATGTATTCTGTCACGAGGATAAGGCTTTGGCAATGCCTATCAAATTAGCTACATATAAGAACTGTCATTCAGTAATGTTTATAATAGACAAACAAAGGATATAGGATATCTATCCAAGACACAAAATCAGTAAATGCATGTCTACCTAAAACGCCTACAACAGTGTGTATTCATGAACTTATCTTAGTAAAAGCCTTAAGATACAGCTAAAAGTCTTGACAATATCTATACAAAATGAAAAAAAAGTGCAAGTACCAAACTATACATCCTCGCCCGTGGTTAAGTTGTTGCGCTTCATGTTTGATGTGTTAGAGCTTTAGATTTTGCCATTTGCTTAGGGACTTTCCGTTTAGAATTTTCCTCGGAGTTCGATATTTTTGCTATCTTACTTTTTTCATACACAAGTTACTAAAATTTTATTACATTGAAATTAAACCCTTTTAGTAAATTGTCTTAAATGGAACTCCACCTCTGATCAACTGTACAGAGAACATTGTTACTGGTTTACCAACAAGCCTTCATCAATGACGTCATGGACAATTGTTGATGCCATGAACAAGTGTCGGGATGACGGTGGCTACCTTGCACCGTTAATAGATGATCAAAATTATCAGTTTATTAAGGATGACGTTTTGAGTACAGTATTTTCGTAAGTAGATAGTTCTAATTTCTAAGGTAAAAGTGTCTTAGCTCATTTCTATGACGTCGGTATATTGGTGTCCCCGCGCTCGCACCGCGGAGGATATGGAAAGAATGTCCGGTTGTCCGTCCGTCCGAAACACATCAATACTCGTAAACCGTTTGACAGAAAGCTTGACGTATACTTAGAAGGATATCGTCTTATTTTCATGACCATACTAGATCTTCATTCAGATTTGACCATTTTTAAAATAGTTATGGAACTTTGTTAGTTTTTGATAGTATTCTAAACATAACACCTTGCGATCTCATCTCTGATGGGGTAGTTTTACAGATAGCTCTTATATCACAGAACGCTCTTATACTTGATAATATTGTTTGCTATACTGTGCAGTTAACCATATTCTATCTCCATTTTTATTCGAACATTTTTGGGAGTTTAAAATATTGGTTGTGATGGCAACTCCTCTGACACCATTTCACATAGAGCTCCCATACTTGTTTGCTACTATATGAAATTGACCATACTGTACCATCATTTTGATTTGACCATTGTATTTGAGTTATGGGACTTTGACAATTAGCTTACTCTCGTATCACAATGACACCTTGAAAAGGGGGAGGGGGTATTTCTACGGCGTAACAATCGTGTTCTATCTGTAAATTTTTTTAGCTCACCTGCAGTGAGCTTTTCTGATCACTTGGCGTCTGTCGTCCGTTGTCCGTTGTCCGTCGTCCGTTGTCCGTTGTCCGTCGTCCGTTTAACTTGGAATGAAACCAAACATTGCATGAATATTCCTTATGAGGTGCTCACCAAGTGTTGTTACTTTGTAGCTGATCCATCATCCAATATGGCCACCAGCGGGGGATTTCGTTTAACATAGGACCCTATGGACAATACATACACATGTCTTCTTTTAGAGTACCACTGAACGGAATGAAATAAAACATGGCGTGAATGTTCCTTATGAAGTGCTGACCAAGTGTTGTAACTTTTTAGGCGATCAATCATCCAAGATGACCGCCAGCGAGTACTTAGTTTAACATAGGACCCTATGAGAAATACATACAAATGTTTTCTTTTAGAGTACCACTGCATGGAATGAAACCAAACACGGCATGAATGTTCCCAATGAAGTGCTGACCAAGTGTTGTTATTTTGTAGTCAATGAATCATCCAAGATGGCTACCAGCGGGGAACTTATTTTAACAAAGGACCATTTGTGAAATACATACAAAAGTCTTCTTTTGAAGAACCACTCAATTGAATGAAACCAAACATGACATGGGTGTTTCTTATGAGGTGCTGACCAAGTGTTGTTACTTTGTAGCAAATCTATCAACCAAGATGGCTGCCAACGGGGGACTTCGTTTAACAAAGGACCCTATGGGAAATATATACAAATGTCTTCTTCTAGAATACCGCTTAATGGATTGAAACCAAACATGGTATGCATGTTTATTTTGAGATGCTGACCAAGTTTTGTTACTTTGTAGCTGATTTGTCATCCAAGATGGCTGCCAGGAGGGGGAGTAAGTTTATCATAAAATCCTATGGAAAATACATACAAATGTTTTCTTCTCTAGAGAACCACTGAATAGAATGAAACCAAACATGGCATGGATGTTCCTAATGAAATGCTGACCAAATGTTGTTACTTTGTAGTCGAACCATCATCCAAGATGGCCGCCAGCAGGGGACTTAATTTAACATAAGACCCTTTGGGAAATGCATACAAATGCTTCTTCTAGAGGAGCACTGAATGAAATGAAACCAAACATGGCATGAATGTTCCTTATGAGATGCTGATCAAGTGTTGCTACTTTGTTGCCGATTTACTGTTCAAGATAGCCACCAGGAGGACCTTAGTTTAACATAGAACACGATGGGGAAATATGTAACCAATGTCTTCTGCTAAAGATTTTTTGAGTGGATTGAAACCAAACATGGTATTAATGTTCCTTATGAGGTGCTTACCCGATACTTACCAAGTTTTGTAACTTTTTTTCTGATTTGTCATCCAAGATGGCCACCAACGAGAGACCTAGTTATAGGAATTACATAAATATGTTTTCTTATATGAACCACTGAATGGAATGAAATCAAATATGGCATGAATGTTCCTTATGAGGTGCGAACCAATTAGTGTTGTTCCTTTGTTGAAGATTTGTTATCCTAGAGCAAAATTGTCAATTGACATCTTGTAGAAGTTATTGTCCTTATAAAGTCATTTTCTACAATTTCAATGAATGTATTGGTAATTTCTGTTAACTTTACAAAAGTCTTCTGCTTTTGATTAAATTACGGGGCCAATATTTAACCAAATTTGGCCTCAATCATTATTAGGGTATCTGTTATGATTTTAATCTATTTTACATTAGTTCAGGAATCAAAGTAGAATCAGGTGAGCGGCACAGGCTCTTGAGAGCCTCTAGTTTAAAGAAGCAATTTCTAACTGAGTTAAACTGACCATCAAACATGTGAGCCTAAAACCTCTATACCTCCCAAAATCGATTAAAACATGAAGAATTCCAACATGCACGTTTTTCTCCAACTATCATCAAAGTCTTTGGTCCGTACATGCTATAACAACTCGACCACGACTGCTGACATATAGATAAGGAGATGTGGTATGATTGCCTATGAGACAACTATCCACCAAAGTTCAAATGAAGTCGATTTAAGCAATTATAGGCAACCGTACAGCCTTCAACAAGGTGAAAAAAAAAAAGCATACCGTATAGTCAACTATAAAAGGCCCCGACATAAAAAATTTGAAACCATTCAATTTTGAAAACTAACAGCCTAATTCATTACAAAACAATTTACGAAAAACAAATATGACAGACATGAACCAACGACAACCACTGAACTACAAGCTTAATGATGTGGCAGTGTTAAACTTGTTTTAGAGCGCTTAACCATTCCCCTAACCTGGAAAATCAGTTGAATAGGGCTTAACTCATCAGATCGATACATCGATTGTTTATATTTTTATGTTTATTTTAGAAAGGATGTTACTTGTTAAATCTTAAAATATAACGTTCGACATTCGACTTTTTTTTAATCAAAATCTAGGTTGATCTTTATTACAATTTATCTTGAACAAGGATCGATTGTCATCATTCTTGGGTCGACTCGAACCTTTGTACGATGGCTATTACACCAGAGTTACAAACCTGTTAATTATTTATAAAAAAAACGAGGAAAATAACCCCACATAGTTAGAATTCAAAAACAACTCATTATACCACCCTGTGATTTAAACAATATATATATATCGATCTAGAAAAATAATGACAAAATTGTTCTCTCCGGTAATCTTAAGCCTTTTATCGTTCATTCATTCATGACCAGTGCACATACGACCATGGCTATCGATGCCTATGACAGAAAATAGGAAATTAACATATTTAGACACCCAAAGGCTAAAGTATAATTAAAACTTCACCTTCAAATCAATTATTCAGTTTTTTTTAGCTTATACGTAATTGCCTTTATTTTTTTAATTGAATGTGTTAAACAGCTATGATTGAGTATACTCTTCTTCTCTAGCTGAATCGATACATACTAATTTTAAGTTATATTTAACATTCTCTAACTTGTCGAATATATCTGTGCATCGTATGGATACAGCCAAGTCCGAGCATTGCAGAATAAACAGTCAAACGATATACTTATCTTTAGATACATTTATTGATTCATGGTAAAAACAAATTGAATTAGACAGTCGTTTTACACGAAATGGGTTACTTAGTAATTAAATTAAAATTATTAGAAGCAAAAGTTGGATTTCGAAAAGAAAACCACCTTTCTGCAAACTAGAGGTTGTGAGTTATCTTGTCCTAATCCCATCTTCCTTTAAATGCTCTCCTTCATATTTAAAATTACAATTTTGTAATGCCATGATGTCGTGATAATTAACTTCATGTTCATTAATCAACTGCCCTGATTGAGGGATATTCGTAAGAAAACATTGTACAAAACATCTAACGGGAAACAAAAGCGATCAAATCATGAGTTGTTGTTAAGGTAATCATGGTCTATTTGTTAAAGCCGATATTGTACCAGAATATGGAAGATATTAGCACATACTTACAACTTCTCGTCCAATCAAATTGCTAGAATTTGCCTTCTAATTTTCATAGTACAAACTGTTTCCGTGTACTAAGTAACTACGCATGAATGAGCACCAGGGTAAGATTTCATTGTATCGTAATAAAGATATTAAAACAAAAATTGCCAATGGCTATTTTGAAATAAAATGCTGTGTTCCAAATGAAATTAAATAATTTGTAATATAGTTTTCACGTTGATTTTTAAATATACTGCTATTAAAATCTTTGGATCTAAAAAATGTTTTTGACGATTGCAAGTTTCTTTCATTTAAAAAAAGAGTAACAAATATGGTTCTTTATACCTTGATTAGAGTACAACGCCATCTTAAAATTGTGATAATCTATCATCCATGCAATTACTTTGTACACAAAAAAGTGTGTACCATGAAACCTTGTGAAGGGAAGATCCATTTTGTTACATCTGGTGATCCGTTTATTTGGCAAACTCCAATGGCAGTCAGCAGGGTTTAAGAACATCCGTTGTTCGACCTGCTAGTCAAATGCGTTTTGTTAAAATATACTTTTTCACTTTTTTGGTCTTTTGGAAAATGTTGTTTGTGCTGTATTTAGACCCCTCTACCAAGAAATTTGTTTTGCATGCACACGTATAAAAATTGCGGTTTTTATCCAACGCAATCATAGGTTTGAACGTTGTTTTCAATTTAGACTTGTTTATATATATATATGTATATACATGTTCTGATACATCTTTTAGAATTTACTTTGAAATAAAAAAAAACATAAACCCTAGTACCTTTGATCTATTGGTAGTTGCTTTCTAATGACTATCCGCAGACTATCTATGGGGACATACCAGGGGCGGATCCAGCCATTTTTGAAAGGGGGTTCAAACCCTGGAAAAAAGGGGGTCAACCATATGTTCCCATTCAAAAGCATTGATCGTCCAAAAATAGGGGTTTTCCAACATGTATAGTAAAACACCGCTTTATATCAATAAGCATACACACACCAGCAGCTACCATCTTTTCATTCTGGAGTCAAGGGCCTTTTGAAATCACATATTTCACAATGATACTAGTGAGTAGATTTACAAAACTTCGTTAATGAGCTCCGTTTTACAAACACCTGTGATACAAGTAGTCAGCCAAAATAAACGATCAATTGACCGATTAAAAGATTACTCGAGTTGTAAATATGTGCTAAATTGGATAGTCTATGAAAAGGTATATACTATGAAATTAAGAGCTCGGGGGAAGCCCCTCGCTCTAAATTTCATAGTATATACCTTTTCATAGACTAACCTAGACTTATTCCTTTTTTAAATTGTTTTCTTTTTTTGTATAGAGGTACATCTGGCATTGTAAGAAATCAGAAAGTCTTAAAGCAATAGTCCTTTTAACAAGCTTATAAGAGGGAAACAAAAACAATGCTTATGGAATAAAACAGAGACATCATAATGACAAAGAGCAAAACAGTTCACAAAGACTCTCAAGAAAACCAAAGATTGAGCAAAGAAAACTAAACCACGGTGTAAACGCTGGTGCTCGGGAATTGTAATTAGTGCGAAAAATTCATGCTTAACTAGTGGCACCTGTCATGTTTCTCACGGAATTTTGAAATTGGTGCATCAATATTGGATTCTGACTGAAAAGTTCAACATCGACGTTATAATTGTTTACAATATTAAGATTGATTCGGTAAGGAAAACGAACATTACAAGCATGAATATTAATACTCATTTGAAAGCTGCATATACGTCAATGTCTGGGCAAATGTAAACCATACAAACGATGTAGGGAAATAGTCAAGTCGCGATTGTTTTCATTTCATTGTACATGTTGTAAACACGCTTGAACATTTTTTGATTTGATGAACTTGTTTTAAGGATATATTTACTGCAGAAATATCGAAAATCTTTTTTGAAAATAGAAAACCATTGATATTTGCAGATTAAAAAGTACCCGAGCTTGGCTTGGCACCCATTCCATAATGGGTTCCCCAACAAACTGGAATAATGACCCAGCGTTTGTGACATTACTGTCATGGAGCTCTTTTGCAGAGAAATGTGTTGTCATTGACTCAAATCAAATGCAGTCATGGATACCCTGCAACACAAACAGTAGTACCTTGGCAGGAGCAGTATGCTTCAAGCAGGGACTAGGTAAAACTATATTCAAGCAATTCCACGTCTTTCTAAAATGATTTATAGATAAACTCAATATACACATCAGGCTTAAAACGTTGTACGCCAGACGTACGTACAAAAGACTCATTCGTGACACTAGAATAAAAAAAGTAAAAAAAGGTCAAATAAAATACGAAATTGAACATAAAGGACCCAAAATTCGGAAATTTTTTGCCAAATACAACTAAGGTAATCTATTCCTGGGGTAGACATCTTAGGACATCCTAAGAATTAGAGGCAATCGTAGTTTAAGATGTTCAAATCAATTCAGAATAGTGCGGATTCATTTATTTTCATGGATACCAATTTTCCTGGATTGAGGAGAAATTGTATTTTCGTGGATATTTGATTTCGTGGTTTTGCCAAAGTCTGCATTCACGCCTGTAGAATATTTGTACTTTATCTATGCCCACGAAATCCACAAAAATTGGTATCCCACGAATAATAATGAATCCACAGTATACCAATTCAAATACAAAACTACACGAGGGAGTCGCATGAGCGCCAAAAGCGTGGAAGTGGGTGTGTCGACAAGGTAAAATTTACTTGTTTTTGCTTGCATAACCCGCCATGCAGATTCTCATCTATTAAACATTTGTCATTCAGGGCATACGATACAGTTTCAGGGGAGGTAATGACGTTGCTAACGTAATTTTTTTTCCGACGTCAAACGACGACATATCTGGAAAAGATGCATTTTTCGATTGATTTTAATCATTAGATTGAAACAAGTACATCATGAACATGGACCATTCCTTTTGAAAAATGAATTTTGACTTGATAATGTATGAAGATTATTTGTTCAAATTTTTATGAAGAAAAAAGCGATGATTTTTTTTTAAATTAGATAAATTTACAGCAAAAAATGCCGGTTTTTTTCTGAAATCTTGAAAATTTAATAAATGAAATATTTCCAAAGAATTGTTACACAAATAAAGACAATACCTTTGTAGAGAAGATATTCCAAATCTTTTTACAAAAATCCGCATGTCTTTTGAAACAAAACAGTTAAGTATGTCTTTCCAAAGGATAGAAATGTCCAAGAAACCGAAATTTTAAGTTAATATCTAAAATTTCGACCCCATTTATCTCAGCCTAAATTAAGCACATGAAGGTATATTTTTATTACATATTTGTATTGACTAGGTGAAAAAAAAGATTTTATACAAATTTTCGTAAAAAAATCATCGTTGGATCAAAACTTTATCGCGTATGCCCTTAAGAAAAAGAAAAATAGTTAAAAGGTATAACAGCACAAACATATGTTGCCTGCGAATTTAGGCACGGGCACATAGTATCTGTCAACTCAATCTGAATTACCATAGTATGCGTAAGACTTTGCCTACACCATTTTTTTTAAAGAAAAGTCTGTATAATGGTAACACGTATGTGCATATGGTATCCATTGAAATACGTAAACATGCAAAAGAGCAGACAGTATGTTACTGCTAAAAATTGAAAAGCTGAAATCGTGTACGCTTGTCTTAGATTTCAGTCTGAAGCCTTTTATCTGTGTAAGAAGAAAAGATTCAGATATCAAGCAGGCATCCTAGTTTTCATGTTATTCATTATTTTACTTTTAGTGGGGAACATTTAGATGGATGCACATATTGAAATGTAGTTTTTTAGTGACAGAACATCATCAATATGTCATTGATTGAAAATTACATTTAATACCAAACTTAACACTAATGGGGTCGGTCAAAAACACAAGCATTTCGGTGATATCATCTTTGGTGTAGATGTTGTATTTGATGTTGGAATCCATCTGGTTTTTCATATAGAAATGTGTTATGACAGCAACATCACTGTTTAATGAGGAGATATAGTTGATCTTTCAATTTAGCTCAAGGGATAGTAGTATAAAGCATAACAAAATCAAAACTTTTAATATTAAAACAAACCAGTAATGATTGAAATAAAAAAAAAATATGTGTTCGATCTTTAAAAATTTTATGAATCATTTCCTTATCACATTTCTGGCTGAGTATATCTAACCGCAATATATTTGAATAACGTCGTCAAACATATAGGCGAGCGTTCGTTGTGTCGGTCCTTTTTAATGTTTTTTTTTTCATCGCAATTCGTTTGTATTTCAAACTGTTTTGATTCAAGCGCTACTGGTTAGTCTTATGTAGACGAGACGTTTGTCTGGAGTATAAAATGGCAAATCTAGTATCCCTGATAAGTTCTGATTCCTTCTGATTGAATTCTATTTAGGCAAACCATATTAAAATATAAAAACTTTCATCAAATTTGTAGTTAATTTTGCCATTTAACCGTCTTGATTCGAGTCCTACTGATGAAGATTATGTAAAAGAAATGCTGTTCATGCGTACCAAAATATAAGCCTGGTATCTTCGATGAGTTTGTATATACTTCCACTGTTAAATTGTTAAAAACGGTATAATCAAAATATCAATCAATTAAATTTATTCTGCATTCTTATACGACGACGCTATTGACAAGCAAACAAATAAAGGAAACTCATTATTAATTTCACAGACAATGCTGTGTAACTGTATGATGCCAACTCGTATACGGTAAATGTTTTTTGACTGCGCAGAATTTACACATGCGTCATGCGCAATACACATCTTGATAAAATATGAGTCTTGTTATCAGTTGTTAACTATCTGTTTTCAGGAGGAGACGTTCCACTTATTAGTCCAGAACCTATAACATGCGAACCTGAGATATCATCTATAAATGTCAATTCAACAACAGTAGAAGAATTAAAACGTATCCTGTTTATTGACCCTGAACATACAAACGGTAAGCACATATCACATGTTTAAGCTTACATATAAATACGGTAACTGCATTTATATTTTTAGAATCGTATTTTCTTTTAATATCATTGTTGCTAGTTTTCGAAATTAGGCAACAATATTCAATCAGTTTTCAAACCCAATAGATCGATAAGTAAATTAATGTAACAGACAAAAGACAAAACTTAAGTATCGCAAGAACTCCAAAGGGTTCATGTGTAAGCAAATCTTTGGACGGAATTACAAATATCGCGTTGAAAATTTTCAATTTACGCTCATTATGTATACATGTTTACTATAGACATTTATTTTTATAAATTAAACACTTGGAAAATAACCACTGCATTAGGATATTGCAATATTTTAATAAAAAAAAAATGACGCAGACCCCTTACAATTTGAGCCAAAAAATACATGTTATAAAAATAATACCGAAATAACATTAAGAAATAACTAGAAACAAGATTATGTGAATTGACTATACTACAAAAATCATTTTTTTGTAATTTTGTCATATTAAGAGAATATTTTATAGATGTTTCGCGTGTGTTAATTTTTTTGCTACCCTTTAGTAATCAACCCGAGATTTGTTGTCACATGAATAATATGAACGTGATGAAGTAGATTGTTCCTAACATCCAGAATTCAATTAAACAGTATACGTATTTTAAGCATTTGTTTTTTGTTTTTTTTTTTTTTTCCGGCGACGAAGTTCTTTCATTCTTAAGACTGATACAATTGATATGTGACAAGTACGTTATTCTATACTCTTATTGTATTGTATTTGAGAGCCAACTTACATCATCAAATAATTCTATTTTAGCGTATAAATTGACAAAGATCAGTGTGTACGAAGATAGACCAGTAGCAAAAACTATAGGTGGTGTAGGAGTTGCCGTCCTTGTGTCTGTTTTATTATTCGTTGTGTTGTTAGATTGTCAAAGAATGGAACAGTGTATTTCCAAAAGGAAAACAAATGCAGCTACTAATATGTAGTTTTTCTATGGCCGTAACTTTTATCTTCGACGGAAAGATTTATAATAGTGACCAATTTTCTTCAGTTGTTGTTAGAAATTGCAGAACTGACATTGCTGTACAAGTAAATAACACTGAGCTATAGCTTTAAACAAATCTAGTTTTATCATCATTTGTTGTAAAAAATGCGAAACGTATTTTGCGTCACTAACAACTGAAGATGAAAGTCAGTAAACATATGATGCAAATCACAGTTAACAATTCTTGAAGTCTTATGAACAATGCACCATGTGAACAAGCATTTGTTTAATAACTGACTGACATGTATATGTGCAGGATTATGCAAAAACAATTCTTAGAAGAAGACAATTGAATATGCATAAAAAAAATCAGTAATATATGAAAAGTCCCAAACAAATACATGTTTTTAAAATGTAATTTGATTTAAAGACTATTAAACTAAGTTTAGTTATAATTTGTTTTTCTTTATTTTTCCACATTTTTGACGTTGCAAACATCAAAAGAGAATTGCTTGAAATTAAAGAACGGAGTGTTACAAGTGTAATTATATGAGACAAACGTTTTACTGCTGTTACGATGATCCTGAAAATTTTGTAAAAGAAGATTCTAGATTGTGGTTGTATGTCTAGTACCATGAACAAGTTTAGTTCTCACTTAAATATATGTATCTTTCATTTGTATTCGATGAGTGTTCTGTAGAATAAATGTATAAATGGAATTATTTCATATTAGAACAAGAGAGAAGCGAAAGATACCAAAGGGACATTCAAATTCATAAGTCGAAAATAAACTGACAACGCCATGGCTAAAAAAGAAAAAGACCAACAGACAAACAATACACAAAACACAACATAGAAAACTAAAGACTGAGCAACATGAACCCCACCAAAAACTGGGGGTGATCTCAGGTGCTCCGAAGAGTAAGCTGATCCTGCTCCACATGTGGCACCCGTCGTGTTGCTCATGTTAGTACAAACCCGGTATTAAGTCTAATTCGGTAGGTCACATTCGAGGAAAAGGGGACGGGGTTGTAGTTACGACATTTGGAACATATCCGCTATCATTTGTGAAACGGATATTCGATAACGGTCAACCAACTCGTGATGGCGTCCGTAAAATTTACGAAGGGATGATTTCAACTTCACCACTTGGAACTCTTGGTTTAATAGCTTCCTTGTTAGCAGCAACCCTTTATCACGGAAATCATGATAGGAAATACAAGCCCCGGAATATCGTATCAACTGGGAGCTATACTGCTATATATTGTCAGAATAATGATTTGTTTTTATTTGTTGATACTTGTATTGTCTCTTCCTGTTAAGGGATATTTATACGGCTTTCATTAAACATACATATATTTTTATATTATATAAGGGGTCTGGCTTTAGGAGCCAAAATAAATCTAAACTCGACTTGAATACCGATTTGCGTCTTATTTATTTCTGACTATTTTGAAAACTAGTTTTCAAAATTTTTTTTTAGTTCAGATTTCGTTCTTGGAAAACGGTAAATAAATTTATTTGAAAATATTTCATCGTTCATTCCACATCACTTTAAAAATGTAATATTACATATACAAAATAATACGAATCACCAGAAAAAATTCATAGAACATGATGAGACATCAAATACCATCAACTTCATTCGACGAAATTACGAAAAATCAACACCCTATCAAGAGAGCCGGACTTGGAACAAATACAACATGTGATGGTGTAAACAGAAGCTTGAAGTACATGTATTTCTTAGTCTTAAGTAGATGAAACACGCGGCTGGCATTTCATATTATAAGGTTGGTGTCTTGAAAAAAAACTTTTTAATGATAATATGAAAAGACATGTTTACCCTTCCTGAGTACCGGATATCAAACCCCGGAATTTGGTTCATGTTTCTCAGTCTTTTATTTTTTTTTTGTAGTCTTTCGTGGACTGTTGTTTTTTATGTCGTATTTTGTTTTTGCAATGGTTTCGTTGGTCTCTCTTCGACTTGTTAGTTTGGAATCTTCAGTTTTGTAGCTTTCGCCTCTTTTTTATGCAAGACATATCACTTCTTCAGACCTCTCTGATAAGTATGTTCATGTACGCAAGGTATCACTTATATAATGCTTATAATACCTAAAAACAACTCTCAACGCACAAAATAATGATGTATATCATATATAAGAAGAGAAAGGGATCCCAATAGTTATACCTGGCCTCGACGAAATCGCTTTGTTTTGGTTGCGTCTGTTGTGAACTCGATAATCTATTAAGTTCACAATAAAGATCAAAAACTAATCGACATTTAAAATATTTGGTATGCAGTTGTTTTACCACCCGATCGTTTCATTGCCATATATTTGTTATATCACTCGGTCCCCTCAGACATGGTCCATTGACAGAAATTACTACGTAGTTCACATGGTAAAGTTTCATTGACAGAAACTACTGCATAGTTTACATGTTAAAGTTTTGATTAGGTCTATATGAAGGGAATCGCTTTTGATGGATCGATGATACTTTGAACGAATTCTTACGTCCAAGGCGATTATTTGACTCCAAATCCTAAGTTATATTTCATTGGTGGTTGATGTTAAGCATACATAGTATACATTTTATAGCTTGACCTTGAATGGTTTGCACCAGTTGCATGCTACAGATTTTCAATTTTAATTCCATTTTTTTTATTATATTATTAAAACTTCATACCATGTATAAGCGAAACATATTTCCGTTTTAAAAATTAATGTTTGTTAGACTGAAAAGGCAAAATGCACATCTTAACATGTGTATTTGGTATGGAAAGACACGAAGCAAATTTGGATACTTTTAGGATAAATATACGTAAATTCACAATGTAAATATGTTGTGTGGAATGAATAGATATGTATGACGAAGTTTTAAAACTAGGGATCACTCAGCCATTGTTAGTAGAACAAAGATTACAAGTTCTGGATACTGTTTACAACTCAACTAAACCCCACACATAGATAAACGAGTTAATTTCACTTTTATTTAGTAATGAACAGTCACATTTGTAAGTTTTGACATATTTTTTGAAAAATTTACTTTGTAATTTGAACATGCATATGAAGTTCAAAATTCATTTTTATCTATGTGCAACATTTGTGAAAGTGGTGCTACGCATTTGCAATAAATAAAATTATATTTACATTGTTAGCTGGAACTTGTTTCTTATGTGATTATATGTGTAAGTTCCCGGTCACTTTCATTGATATAATGCGTATTTGTTGTCGTATGTGTCATAAAAGAGGTGTCAGAATTGACAGAATGAAAGACCAACCGTAGGGACTATTTCTTTGGCAATATTCAGACATTCATGTTGGGCTTGACTGGTTTTTATACATTTGTAACGCAGAAAAGCATTCTTTTTACAATCAATTTTAGATGATTTATTAAGATATTTGTTATCTCTCTTTGTCTGATAACAGTATTAATTTTTCAATTAATTTTGGAGTCAGCATAAAACGTTTTATCATTCCATTATTAAACTACGTGGCTGTACCCATAGACAATGACATTTTATTTGTAATTGGATTGTGAAAAAAATGTAATAAATGAAATGTGTAAAAGATAAAATTGTATAAGATACATCACATTATCGTCTTGTGTATACATAACACACACAAAAACGGACATTCATAGGTCATAGTACGATTTTATTTCTTATGTAATTGAGATAGATTTCATATTTTTGTTTGGAATATCCCTTTATCGGAGCACCTGAGATCACCCCCAGTTTTTGGTGTGGTTCGTGTTGCTTAGTCTTTGGTTTTCTATGTTGTGTCATCTGTACTATTATTTGTCTTTTTATTTTTGGCCATGGCGTTGTCAGTTTGTTTTCGATCTATGAGTTTGACTGTCCCTCTGGTATCTTTCGTCCCTCTTTTATCAATGTGAAACAGCTTGGTTTGTTTTAAATACAAAGAACACCGTTTAAATTAATTGCGATTGGAACGCTCCAATTAAAAAATTTGAAAGACAGTATGTATAAAATGTAACTACTAAA